ATAAAGACTAACCTTTGCAGAGAGCTAAGTCTCCAGACTGCTCTGTAGGGGCTATCCCAGCCACACTCCTCCCCTCCACTAAGCAAGCCCGTACATCTCTTCAATCCAAACCCAGAAGAGAGCACTACCCTCAGTAGAGGCACAAGTGTGTGTTCTCCTGATCCACACAGTCTCAAAACCGAGGCTTAAGAACTCCTCTTTTCGGGATGCCAGGGTGGCTCAGTCGGTTAGGCGGTTGCCTTCGGCTAGAGTCATGATCCCAGGGTAAAGGGATTGAGTCCCACATTGGGCTCCCTGCTCAGCGGGGAGCCTGCTTCTCTCTCTGCCTCTGCCTGCCACTCTGCCTGCTTGTGCTCTCACTCTGACAAATAAATAAATAAAATCTTAAAAAAAAAAGACCTCCTCTTTTCTGCAACGAATACCTAAAATAGCAGAGATGTTACAGAACAGGAAAAGATTCCAAGACGACTCTATTCCTTAAATTCTTATTGAAATATTCAATTACTGTCATGATCACTCTGGGCAAAAACAAGTCTACCCGAGTCCCACGAGGCACCCTCCCTCGGCCACACTGGTGGAAGCCACTGGCATTCAAGGCACACCTAGCATCCCAAAGCCAGCCTAAACCACTGGAATGCCTCCCTGCCAGCTGTTACTCACCACTCTTTCCTTCCAACCCAGAAAGTTGTGCCTCTGAGGCTCTGTGTGCCTCTCAGTGGGACAGCCACGGGCAAGAGGCGACTGAGGATGCCCTGGCCTGGGAAGCCAAGTCGGTGGAGGGGAGGCAAGGGGATGAGGGAATTTTGCTGCGGGCTTTTGTCTTTCCTCTGACACCTACACTTAGCTCTAAATTAGACCCCAAATCATCTCATGCAGTCGAGCAGTGAACTTGAAGCAAGCACAGAAGTGGGGCCTGGAAGCTGGCCAGCGGACAACTTTTGAGTCTAGATGTTCAGGGATCTTCTCCAATCTGCTGCTGAGAAAGACGGTGTCACCCCCGGTCAGGGTCTGACTGTTCCAAACCCCGGCTTCCTACAGAGCCGTGGACAGAAGGGAAGGAAAAGGAAGGTCAGCAGAGACTGTTCAGAGCACTTCAATGGGGGCAGGACAAGGGGAGACGACAATGAATGGCAGTGTGCACCCTCCAGTGAGTGAGTGATGGAGACACAGGCGTCCAATGGCGGAGGGGAGGTTACCACAGGCTCCTGGGGCCTGCCATAACCACACACCACACACCAGGGGCTTTAATGTAACACGGATGAGCTCTCTTACAATCGTGGAGGCTAGAGGTCCAAAAGCAAGGTGCTGGCAGGGCTGGTTCCTTCTAGAAGCAGAGGGAGAACCTGCCCCACGCTGCTCTCTTAGTTTCTGGGGGGGCTCCCAGAAACTCCTGGTCCGCTTTGGCTTGTCAACACATGGCCATATTGTTTACCTCGCCACGTGGCCTTCTTCCTGGGCCTCCGTGTCTTGACGTGGCTTTCTTGGGAGGACAACAGCACTGGATTTAGGGTCCATGCTGACCTACTGTGAGATCTTAATCACACCTGCAAAAGTCCCCATTTCCAAAGAAGATCACATTGTTGAGATTCCAAGCTGGCATGAATTTTGAGGGGATGCTGGTCACACCCCAGTACAGGGAGAATGAAGACAAGGGGCACACCCTAAGAGGTTTCTATGACCTTTCCACTCTCCTGCTCACTCACAGATTAAGAATGAAGGCAGGCACTTCGGGCTCTCCCTAGCCCTGAGTTCTTAAACCCTAAGTAGAAGGAAAAATCACGCTCAGATACGACCCCAGTTCAACAAGATGCCACAAGTGTGGCCGTTCCTCTGAGCATGTTCCGATGGGCTCGCAGGCTTGGCACCCTGTCACTTTTAAAGGTTGATGATGAGAATTTTCAGGAATGTGGGCATGAGAGTCTGGGCACTCGTGCAGGCTTAGCAATTCACATCCTTTTCCCGGAAGCCCCGGCTCAAAATGCTTTGGGGGACCCCTTCTCCTCACGGCATCAACACAAGTGGGTGGTCCTTTCTCTCTGAAAACCCAGCATTCCTGGCAATTTTAGGAAGTCTAGGTGGCAAGAAGAGGCACTTCATTTTTTTCAGGCACATTTGTGAGATGTGTGGGGAGCCAACTAAAATTAATGAACTTTTCTTGCCAAAAAGAACTCAGCTCTAAATTCGGTCACGTCCTGCCAAAGTGTGTGAATGAAGTCAATTTGTGAGGAAAATAAGAACATTCCAAAGGAAAAAATCAAATACAGGCAGTCCCAGACGCATTTGTGCTGATCTAAAGATATTCCTCTTTTGAGAAAAAAAGGAGTCCATTCCTGTAGCTGAGGTGACCACAGACACTCAGCCACCCCATTACCACTCAGCATGTCTCTGCCATCGGCCTCCACTTCCCTCTACAAATCCCACCTGCCCCCACTTCCTGTCCCCTGGTCAGGCACCTCCCCTTGCCCGGCCCAGCCCTGGGTCAATGGTAGCGTGGCTGCCAGGGTGAAGGAAAGGGAATCCTCCCTCCAACCCCTCAAAAATGTTCTTTGATCTTGGGATTGGCTACCTTGAAAACCTTAAACTTGCTCAGATCTACCTCTTCCAACCCCAAATTTGGGTTTTCTTCCAGAAAGTCTGCTTTAGCTCCTTGATCTTTACGGTTACCTGGCATTTTAGACCCATGTCCAGCTTGTACTTGCCTGTCACTGATGCAATGCCCACCTAAGCTGGTCTGCTCCACTGTCCATCCCCTCGGAAGCTGACACACTGACTGAGGGGCCCCCCAGGACCTCAGACCGCCAGAGCTACCATGTGCCAGCCACTGCCCCGGAGAGGAGGGTAGGCCTGGCTCAGCCAACCAACTGTAATTTTAAGCTGAATACAATTAATTTTATAATTGTGAGTCATTCCAGATTAATTCTGATAAAATCAAATCATGAAACTAGGGCAGAATGAAGAATGATTTCAAGAAATCAGACGTGAAGTCTCCGTAAATACTTGGTTCACGTCTAATGCTGACGGCTCACCACCCTATCAGCTGGGGTTATTGAGGGGAAAAAAACGGACTTAGCTCAAAGACACAGAGATCCTATCCTGCAATCTTAAAAACCTGCTTGGCCCTGCTATGGGTCTGGAGGGAAAAAAAAGAAAAACTAAGGTATTTTGACTCCTATCTAAGCAAAATAGCCCTACTGAAAACCTAGAAAGATACATACTTACATCAGGGAGAGAGGAGAAAATAGAGCAGATTTAGATCCAAGCAGAAAAGAAACTCAGAAGTGTGGCAGGAAGCTCTAATCTGAGCTCCTTCCCAGTGTTGTTCTGCTCTCAATCCCAGTTCAATCCAAGACCTGACGGGCTTGGAAAGGCAGCAAGTGGATCCATCCCTGAGATCGTAAGGGGCAGAGGCAAGGATGGTGCAGAATCACGTGCTGCTGGGTAGGTGCTGGTCCCCGGTCTCCCGCTGGGACTCCCTGAAGTCTCCCGCTCCTGAAAGTCCCAGAGCTTCTGCCCCAAGCCACGAGGCCCACCCTCCGTGGTTTCAAACCAGGGGTATTTCCACTTCCACAACCATGGAGCCAACAGGAAGTGAGGAGGATGATTTCCTGCTCCATTTCCTAGGCCACTATGGGGCCCTCCAGGCAAGACCCCCAAATGCCTCTCTTTACCCACCATGAGTCATCGGGTCAGTGCCCCTGCTCACTCCCTCCCACACAGTGGGGGTTAAAACCACCCTGTGGAGCAGGACCCCAGCCATGACAAGTCCCATCCCCTCCGAGAAATGACAGTGTCTGGGATCCAGACAGTCACTGCAGAAATGGGGTCTGGAGCCCATCTGGGGGTTTCCTGGATGTTGTTTTAGCTGCAGATGCACAGGCCCCTTTCCTGCAGGCCCATGCACAACACAAACAAGCCAGGTGTGTTCCTATCGAGAAAGGAAAATGGAGGTTCCTGGGGGTACACGGAATCTCCCAGGGAAGGACAACCCTAAAGGCAGAACCGTGGGCCGTTCCTCATTCCGCTCCAGGCTGCAGAGCTCCTCCCCAGGTTCAGTTGCCCCGTAAAACTGCACAGGAACACCTGTCCCTCTCTGTAGGGCCCAAGTTCAGGGCTCCCCCCGGCAACACCTGTGCTGCACCTGGACCCTGGGGTCCCTCTCCCAGTCCTGTCTGGGTCCTGTCTCCCCGGTGAGTACGATGCTGGCTGTGAGGAAGAGTATCAGCCTTCCAGGAGGCGATGTGACACACCCAAACACAGAGGAGACCACAGACTGGAGACACTTCCCTTAGATACAATGAAGCCAGTTCTCGTGTTTTCAATAAATCAAATGCTTCAGGCTCCGTGGATCGTAAATTCCCCGCGAAGCCCCCATTCTCTGGGGGGTCAGTCTTGGAAGCACCCCTGCTGCGTGGAGAGACCAAAATCGACCTCACAGAAACGAGGGAAGTGGGCTGTCAGGTGATTGTCTGCTGTGGGCTGCGCCGCAGAAAGCCCTCATCGGACTGATCTCAGCAATGCCCTGCTTTCGCTCAACTTTCTGGGCAGCTAGATTGAGACAGAATCAGAAAGGTATTTGCCTGGAGGAAAAAAAAAAAATTTCTGTCCCCTGGCCTTCATTACAGATCACCCTCGTGTTAGCCAGATGGTACAGAAAAACCCAGGCTTTGTGAAAACTTGGCTTCGAAGCCTTTCATTGATGAACAGGGGTTGCTGGGAGTGCTGTGGAGACACAGTGTGGGGAACCTTCTTTCCTCCGGCTGCACACCCCCTGCCCTGCCTACCCCCAGAGGTTTCGATGTCCAGGCATTACTGTGACCAAAAGAGCAAACACAGGTATGATCAGAGCACCACGACTCCCCCCAAAACACCTGTTCCACTCTCTCGTGTCAGAACGTGACAATGAAAATTACTCTAAGTGGACCTGTTTTAGTTAGGGAAAAAAAGTACATTATGTCCTTCTAGGAAGGAAATGTAGACGGCATATGGCCCACACGTTATCAAAACATCTTCACTCAGCTCGTCCTAGGAGAAAAGTATTTCTAATTCTGTACTTAAGATTTTGAAACTAAAGACCCCTCCCTGACACTAACTTCAATTATAGTCTAGCCTCCAACTCTCCACTTACAGACCACACGTGGAAGAAACCAAACGCACAGCTTAAGGGTGAGGAGGATTCCGGGTGTCGCCTGGCCAGACCCGCACGTACATCTCTTATTCACTTGTAAAGACGAGCACCCATGTCTACTCTCTCGGGCTCATTTTTAACCAATACACCATCTGGTTCATGAAATGAAGCATCAAAGAGAGAAAAACAGATACCCAGAGACTCTATTCACTTTGTGGTTTCTTCTGAATCATGTGAAACACATGAACTCTTCCTTTTACTTCCCAACACGCCCCACCCCTTTCTTTTTTAAAGGGAGGGAGGGTGAGAGCCACGGAGTGGGGTCATGGTACTCACACCCAGTAGGAAACCGCCATGTGGCAGTTCCAAACCATACCACTTTCTTCCAAAGTTAAAATAAAAAAAAAAAAAAAAAAAAAAAAAAATCAGGTTTTACCGGGTGCATGAATCAGTGGTTTTCAGAATCTATGGGGCACAATTTACAATATACTATGGTGTAGGAACCCATAACTGGGCAACCAAAATATCCCAGTGTCAGCCTGTCCTGAACTGTGCACTCATCGCTGTGCATGAAGGGGGGTGCCCAGAACGTACAGAGTCAAAAGTAGTAAGTGTGTGGGTGAAAGTCACAGGAGAAACCGCCACCGGCTCTGGGCCCTATCCTCGATTCCAGCTCTCCGTTTCCTCTAATGCCTCCACTTTCCTGCGACGTGTCTGTTCCTCTCCATCTAGCACCCCCCTGTAGACTGAGTCACCCTCCTTCTACGAACCTGATGCTGATCTTCCCGAGGTACTGCATCAGGAACCAGAGCTCGCTCAGCAGACTGTGTGGCAGGCCTTTTTACCTTTGTCTTATTTTTATTTTTTTTAATTGGACACATAAGCACTAACCCACTGAGGTACTGTTATCTCTACAGAAGGAGGAATTAAGACAAAGAGGAAAGCCCCTCCCGATCCTTGCAGACAGGGTGGGAGACCTCGACCCTCTGGTCCCATGAACCTTCCGTAGCTGTTCCCTATGTTCATCTCTATGACATGAGGTCTCTGAGGGTTCGGCCCGGCCCAGGGCACTCGACAAGCACATCGCTTAGGGATGACTGTGGGGATTAACTGCGTCGTCAAAGGTCACTCAGTTAATAAGGGCCAAAGACCTAATTCCCAAGCCTCCGCTCTTCCTATCCATCCAATGAAATTCTGGCAAAGCTGTCAATGATACTTTAAAGACAGAAACAGAAGCATCCCTTATTCCCTAAAGGAGGCCTCCTTGAAAATGAAAACCAGACTAAACGAGAAATCACTTCTTAAAAGTAATCAATACAGGAGTTCGATCCACGGTGCCTCTAAACACAGGCTTCTGGCAACAAAACACACCCATGCCCACATCTGAGGACGATCAGGGAGCATTCACCAATGAGAGGTTTGACTCCTTCTGCCTTCTACAACAGTCCTGGTCTCCACTCAACCACGGCAGTGGTCACACAGTGTGCTGGAGGGACACACCCTACCAACAACAAAAGCAGCACAACCCCAAGTCTAGGCACAAGCCCCTGGTCCCGGTCTGCTTATATCTCGTCCCTCTCACTTGGCACCTGCCGTTCTGCTTACAAAGGTAACAGCTCTGGGCCCAACCACCCAGCAGACAGCAGGCTTCTGTATTTGGCACAGAGCCAGGGACACGGAAGCTGAGGTCTGGTGGGAGAAAAGAAGGTTGAGGTTGTACTACTGGATGGACAAAGATGTTTGATTTAGGAAAGTGAACAGCCAGGTTAGATTTGCTGCTTTGTCTATGTTTTTCCAAAGCAGGAGGACTAAGGAATGACAAGGAAAAATACCTCCATTTCCCCAAGTATTTGCTCTCTTGAAAGCACATATAGCATGTTTAAGTTGTGTTTTCTCAAAGCTAGGCTCTCTTCAAAATACTATAAACCATGTGGAGGAAAAAAAGAGAAAAAAAAAACTGAACAAAACAGCCAGATTCAATAAATTTAAAATGTTACTAGATTTGTTTTGCCAAAATCTTTTTTTTCTGAGGGGTCCGCAAAGGTGTTACAGGAGAATAGATTCACCTCACTTTTCAAAAGCACCTTTTTGTTGGGGGGGTAAAGTCGTATGCATATTTTTACTGCTTGTCTGGTTCAGTGTGGGGCAAGTCAAAGAGCCAGGGAAATCACAGTGAGTTCTTTTCAAAGTACAGACTTGTTACAACCTGACAAATCTGCTCATGTGTTTGATCACTAAATTTGGATTTTTGTGCAACTAATTTTCAAAATAAAGACATAGCACCAATACAGAGACTTTCTAAAGGTTGAAAGCATTTATGAAGATATGAGTTCCTTCCCAATCTGCCACCCTCATTATACCTCACAGTTTTAAGAGAGCAAAGCATTAATGGGTCTTCAAGAGCATCGCAGAGCTGAAACGGCAGGTGCTTTCCATCAGGCACCTTCAGTTTCCACACCAGCCTTCAGCTCTCCCTGAGCTCCAAAGTAGCAACACTCACCCTTTTTTTTAACCAGATCTTGTTTCTGCCGTACCACATTGATGAGAACACACTGCATTAGGACAAAAAGGTCTTGGGATCCTCATTCCCTTTAAGTTTAGAAGCACGAACAAAAAAAAATAAAAGCAGGGCATTGGCTTGTTAGGAAAAATGGGGGGGACAAAATGGAACACAAAGGTCTCCTTTTACCAAGACTGCCTTCTGAAAAAGCGAAGGTTCACTGTGCAATCTCAGGGTTTAATTCAATCTGATCCATTCGCTGTGTTCTCTGAGCCACGCACAGAGCTGAACTACAGACACAAAAAATGAATCTGCTATCCTCACCCTGTAGATGCTTTCTGCCCAGCAGAGGCAATAAACAAACAACCAAAGACCCCACACACGGTGCAGGGCACAGACACAATGCTTTGGGGGAGCAGGCAGGGTAGTGAGGAGTTCCGTCTAGGATTTCGGAAGATGCCAAGAACACAGGAGAACCCGCTGAACAAGGGGATAAAAATCTTCACTCTCCTCCTCCGAGCTCACCTGGCTGTGTACAGCCAGAGCTACACAGAGGGGGTTGAGGGAGGAGCTTCCAGAGGAAACTGAACCAGCTTGGCAAAGACACACATTAATTGTTCTCTTCTTCCAATTCGCTCCCGAATTACCCCTGATGCCTCTCCTCTGTCTCCCTTCCATATACATCTTAAGGGTAGGACACTTCCCTTGCTGTCCACGCATAGCTAATATGTTAAGGTTCCTGCCAAATACAGGACTTACCCTGGTGATTTCTTGGCCTGTCTTGTGTTGGCTTCATATTGAAGTAATTCTGGAACTTAAGGCTGTGGTAAACAACGTTTTACATTTAAAGAATCATCTGCTAAGTGAAGTAAGAGAAACATTTTATGATCTCTCCTAAATTTAATCTAAATTCTAAATTTTTAAAAAAATATTTTATTTATTTACTTGACGGACAGAGATCACAAATAGGCAGAGCGGCAGGCAGCGAGAGAGAAGGGGAAACAGGCTCCCTGCTGAGCAAAGAGCCTGACGCGGGGCTCGATCCCAGGACCCTGAGATCATGACCTGAGCTGAAGGCAGACACTTAACCCCCTGAGCCACCCAGGCACCCCCTAAATTCTAAATTTAATCTAAATACAAACATACACAGATATATACACCACACTCACAGATACAGGAAAATTGGTGGTTGCTAGAGGCAACAGGTCAGGGGTGGGAGAGATGGGTGATGTTTTAAAAATAGTCCTTTCGGGGCGCCTGGGTGGTTGGTGGTTAAGCAGCTGACTTCGGCTCAGGTCATGATCTCAGGGTCCTGGGATCAAGTCCCACATTGGGCTCTCTGCTCAGGAGGGGGCCTCCTTCTCCCTCTCTCTCTGCCGCTCTGCCTACTTGTGATCTCTCTCTCTCTCCCTGTCAAATAAATAAATAAAATCTTTTAAAAAATAGTCTTTTTAACAAATGGTGTTGGGGCAATTGGATACCACGTGCACAAGAACGAAGTTGGGTCCTCTACTGCACACTGTGTACAGAACGCATCATTTGCCGATGTCAAAGCTACAACTACACAACTCTTACGAGAAAACATAGGAGTCAATCTTCACAACCTTCGATTAGGGGATGATTTTATATGTAACGTCAGAAGTATAACCCACAAAAGAAAACATAAATTGGACAAAGTTTAAAACTTCGTACTTCAAAGGATACCAACAAGAAAGTGAAAACAGGGGTGCCTGGGTGGCTCAGTGGGTTAAGACTCTGCCTTCAGCTCAGGTCATGATCTCAGGGTCCTGAGATTGAGCCCCGCATCGAGCTGTCTGCTCGGCAGGGGACCTGCTTCCCCCCTGCTCCCACCTGCCTGCCTCTGCACCTACTTGTGATCTCTGTCAAAATAAATAAGTAAAAACTTTAAAAAGAAAAAAAAAAAAGAAAGTGAAAATGATGCAAGAATGGGGCAAAATATTTGCAGACAACAGCTCATATAAAGGACTTATATTCAGAACATATAAAGATCACTTACAGCTCAATAAAAAAGACCAACCAATTTAAAAAATGGGCAAAGGATTTTGCACATTTCCTCCAAAAGATATGCAAACATGCAAAAAGAATTATGGAAATATGATCAGCATTATTAGTCATTATGGAAATGTGAATTAGAATCATAATGAGATATTACTTCACGCCAAGTAGGAGGACTGTAATTAAGGACAACCCATAACAGTGTTGGCGAGGACGTGGAAGAAATGGAAATACGGTCCATTGCTGGTGGAACCGTAAAATGGTGTGGGTGCTTTGGAAAACAATTTGGCAAGACTTCAAAAAGGGAAACATTGTTGCCATATGATTCAGCAATTCCACTCCAAGGGATATATATACTCAAGAGCCTAGAATACAAGCCCGCGCAAGGCAGAGGGCACACTCTTCCACTGCTCACAGCAACATGGCTCGCCACCTCCTGACCTTACCTTGCTCCAGCCTATTGCTGCCTGGGTCTGGAGAACAGTGGGCTAGGCGCCAATTTAATGAAAAAACAACCACCACAACCACCAATTCTGTTAATTTAAGAATTGAATAAATGTCTGGATCATATATATGTATTAAAACTCTCACTAAAGAACTAAAAGGGAGTTAAGAGTCCATTTCTTCAAATGTTAAAAAGGATTTGCATTCATTTCTTAGAAATGGCTGTGTGATAAAAAGCAAAGCAAGCTGGAAGTTTCACCCTCTGAGTTCAGTACTGGAGGATCGCCGTCCCACCTCCCCCAACACACCCTGACCAAATCCTCCAACCAGCTAAGCTGCTTTTGTCTGCAGATCTGGGGGATCATTACGGCCTTGAGACAGGCCTTCGTTTCAGCCCCACGAGTGCACCTCGGTTTTCAAGGCGACCGGGGCCTCACTTCCTGGGGATGAGTCACAGGAGATGTTGAACAAGGGGCTGCTGCCTCCAGGGCATCGGTGTGGGCGCACCCCTGTGCTCTCAGACTCGAACACCAACACCACAGGCAGCAAGGAGTCACCAACGTGTTCAAAGCTCAGTGCCCAGGGGAAGCAGCCCTCTGCAGCCCCTCACTTGGATCTAGACAAGGGTCTGGAACTCAGCCATGTCAAAGACACAGCTGCTCATGATAAACTGAACCCCAGTCTTCATTTTTTTTTTTCTGGTCTTCATTTTTTTAAGCATCATTAGAACTGTCTCTGTGTGGGTCCAGTCAAGAGAAACTGAAAATGTCTGGCATCTTTCTTGAGCAGGAGTGACTAGAAAGGACAGGGCTTATTTCCGTCTTGGAGAAGATGGATCAGGATGTCGTTTTGATACTCAGGCCAGCTATGGGGATGACGGCGGTCTCCAACACAGGCCCCTCAGGCTTCTGGAAAGAGGGGGAGAACAGGTGAAGGGAGGAGAGCCTATCATCAATAAAATTAGGAATCAGTACCTTTGCCAGAGCCAGGACCTGCTGGCTTCACAGAGAAGAACCAGGGCTCCCAAGTCTACTTCATCTCCTGACGTAAAGGGGGAGCCCAGGCCTAACACAGGCAGGTTAAAAGCACCACCGAGGGCAAGACCACACGCCATCCTTCCATCACAGTCATGGGGGACACGGGGATGGGCCGGGGTGTCTGCACCACTTCCTGCCCAGCACGCTCAGCAGAGCTCTGAGCTCTGGCCTGGCCGATGTGCCTGAGCATTGTCTCAGGTCCCTCACAGGGGCAAGGTCACAGACTGAGTCCGTCTACACGTGTAACTTCAGGTCCTCTGAGGGGTCAGGCTCAATTAGCTCTCCACCTCCCAGGATGGCTTTCATCAGGCCTGTGCCCCAGTTACCAGGGATTCCTCCGTGTCACTCGGTCAGAAGCCTTCTATTCAGGGATGGTTGTTTCTGAATGACCCCCTAAAGCCTCACACTCCCCAGATCCACTGCCCCCAGCCAGCCCGGAAATGCACATGCTGGAGGCACTTCTGCTGGAACAGAGCCCAATCCCCACTCCGGTTTGTTTTCAGCCTTCCCCGGTTTCAGGCCTGAAAGCATCCCCAAGCACCAGCACCCAGGTGGAGAATGAAACGGTAGGGACCTCACTGCAAAGGGAGCCGGAGAAACAGGGATGGAGGCTTATTCAGGAGTCCCACCCTGGCCAAGGTCACAGATGGGACGCCGAGAGGCAAATTCAGGTGGTAAATTCACGGTCAGGTATGTGTCAGGACAAATGCCAGTGCTTGCTGAGGTCTCATTAGGCCAATTTGTGTGCCCACGTGTGCCCACGAGTGCACGCCTGGGTATGTGTGGTGGGCGTGGGCATGGCATGGCGGGGGTGGTAGGTGTGCTGGGTAGTGGGGAAAAGCATTCCACGTAGTAGAGAAAAGTGCTCAAGGACTCCAGAGACTGAGTTGGATTTTCTAACAACACTAAGAAAAGAAACAAGCGGGGAAGGAAACTATATTTTGTGCTCTAAAGCTTTATTCTCTCCACCAGGTGCAAACAAGGGCGTCAGAGGTGGGAGTACCTTTCAACAAATAATTCACAATCCCAAGTGCTAAAATTAAACTCCTACACAGGCAGACAACAAGGGAGGAATTTTCCCTGAAATTCACTGCCAACATGCCTCTTCCCGATGAATCTGCTAAACCCCGACCTCAACGATAAGCCCCCGCTGACACCCTCCTCCCAACTTCACCAGCCCCTCACTGAAACTGCCATCTTAACTCTGTTACGCTCCAGAGAAATGGTTGTTCCCTGCAGGTCGTGAGGAGGGTGGTTCTGGGTCCTCACCCAGCAGGGAACCAGTCTCTGAAAATCTTTCCAGAGAATCCTCTGGCTACGGGTCTCAGGGAATCCCAGATGCCATCCACAGTGAGACGCACCTCTAAGACACTAAAGAAAGGTGCCCACCAAACCAGGACATGTCGTTGACTGTAAGACACCCCAGATTCCAGAACACCCACATGGGAACACACAAGTGTCTTCGATTTGCTGAGAGAGAAGCCAAGCCTATCTACGGCTACCCTATCGGAAGTTCATGGACCAGAACCCGCCAAGCAGCAGAGGCACCTGGGAAGCCCACGGCAAACACGCCCACGATGACCTATGATCCCGCACCCTACCCGTGCTAGGACCGGTACTAGGAATTTCACATACTTGGGGCCCCCGAGTCATGCAATTCCCCTAGGAGGCATCCTCACCGCACCCCCTTTCACAGAATGAGACACAGAGTCCCGAAGGGTAACTTGCTGAGGCTGGTGAGAAGCGGGGCAGCGATTGCCCACTCGGGTCTGTCTGGGTTCAAAGCCCATGACTTCCTACCCCAGCCTGCATCTCAGAGAAGTCTGTCTAAGGGTTGGGGGGGGCAGCTCTCTGTCCACGTGCTCACCCCCTCCTCCCTTGGCAGCTTGCCAGCAGCTGGCAAGAGGGAAGCATGTCCTCATTAGGTTGTGGGTGGTCAGGAATTTCTTATTAGCTAAACCTCTCTCTGCCCTTTCTTCCATCCATCGCATTTTTAGTCCTCCCATTAAATGAGTGGCACCTGCCAATGCCGAGACCCCCCCCCCCCACGCCCCCTGCCAGCCCATCTAGCAGGGAGCCTACTACCAAGGACCAGTTCTCAAATCTCAGGAGTGCTGCACAGCCAGCCTTGTACTGACTGCACGCCACACGGCCCACCCTGCCGCAATCTGTCACTCATCGTAACTAAGACGTCTACGTGCGGCTGAAGGAAAGCATGTAACCTGTTTAGTGAGTTGCTTATTAAGTTCCTCTTCCCATAAATTCTCGTGGGCATTCTTTGCGGCCGGAGCACACAAGCCTTCTGTTTCATGCACGGTGACATCCAAGAGGTCCAACTTAGTCCCTCAGTCTCCAGTAGCAAGGCTAGATTTCTCAGAGTAACAGACGCCAACCACTCCGCCCCAGTGGTTCCCCCAAGTTGCTGCTCCCGTTACCCGGGAGCCCTGCGTCAGCACCGTTTGTCAGGGATGAGCGTATTGTCATTACCAAGTTCAAGAGGCCAGCACGGAACACATCAGGAAGGGCAGCTCATGCCCCAAACCAGAACGTCTTGATTTTCTATCCTTACCCACCACTTGCAGCAACGGGGCAATCACCAGCCTTCTCTGAGCTCAGCTGTCTGCCCGACAAAGTTCCGAACGACCAGTGGGAATTTCATGAGGTCTGAGACTGTGTGTGTGGAACTGCCCTGATAGAGCGACCCCCTAACGGGAGGTGAGCCCCCAAAAGCAACGGGGGTGTAGAACTGCTGGCACGGTCAGCAAATGCAACTTTGTAGGTTTCCCCAAAATGAGAAAATGACAAGCTCTCAGACAGGAATTCAGGAACTGCTCATAGCCACGCCATTCTGTTACGTTACCCCCCAAAAAGTTATAGGCAAGTCTATGAGAGAAAAAGCAGAAATACGTATTTAAAATCCACAGCTGAAAAATACTGAAGAGCTATATGTGTTAAGTGTGGGGGATCACAGGTAAATCCGAGGCAAGATAAATAACATCGAGCCTCCCTGAGCTTTCAATCTGATGGGACAGACTCGTAGGAATGACACGGTTTTAAGACTCATCATAGGATTCCTAGGACCGATGTGATGAAGAAAATGTGTGAGTGATATGAAAGCAAGTCAGAAAGGGACCAGAGATGATCTGGGGTCCAAAGGAAAGTCTTCAGAGATAAATAATGTCCTAACGGGAAGTGAAGGGGAAGAGGAGGAGATAACCAGGTGAGCAGGGGCGGAAGGGCATGCAAGGTCAACGG